GCTAAACCCTAAACCCTAAACCCTAAACCCTAAACCCTAAACCCTAAACCCTAAACCCTACTTGAGCGATTTCGGGTTCGGAAACCACTCCGATCTGGTGGGCTATTCCGTCCCCAATGGCTCTGCTCATTGCAAGTCCTGGAAATAAATGGTCTTTGACGAAAACCCTATGCGGGATGTCGCAGTCCAGCCGCATCACCTCGCCCCCTGCAAAACCCTAAACCCTAAACCCTAAACCCTAAACCCTAAACCCTAAACCCTAGCCGCTGAACTCTGCGCGCTGCCCGCAGCGGCTGCGCGCTGCAGCAGGACCCCCGCCAGCTGCAACACGCCCGGCTACAGTCTTTGTTTCCCAGGCTTAAGGTGCGCCCCTCTAAACCCTAAACCCTAAACCCTAAACCCTAAACCCTAAACCCTAAACCCTCAACTTGCCTGCCGCCTCAATCCGCTTTTTCTCCGCGGGGTTCGTCGGCTTGTGGTCTACTGTGCTGAAGGCTGGCACAATGGCGCCTGCACAAAACCCCAAACCCTAAACCCTAAACCCTAAACCCTAAACCCTAAACCCTAAACCCTAAAGCACAATGCCGAGCCGGAATCCTTGCGCGTAGGGCTCTAGGGGTTTAAGAGGGGCTGAATTAGGGTTTGGGCTGTCACAGGGGTCTACAAGGGTTTATTAGGATTGAAATTAGGGTTTGGGGTTTACCATTAGGGTTTATTAGGACTTGCTAGGGTTTAGGGTTTGCCTTTGGGCCTGTTAGGGTTTGCCAGGCTTTAGTAGGGTTTGGGGTTTGCCATTAGGGTTTACTAGGGTTTAGTAACCCTTATTAGGGTTTACCAGTGTGCACTAGGGTTCCGTAAGGTTAGCCACTACGGTTAGGGGTTTAGGGTTTAGGGTTTAGGGTCTAGTGCGGTTTGCTGGGGTTTGGAGTTTATCATTAGCGCTTGCTACGGCTTGCTAGGGTTTAGGGTTTAGGGTTTAGGGTTTACGGCTGCACCTAATTTTGCCCAGCACGCAGCAGGAGTCGATGGCAGGCTGGCGTTAGGGTTTAGGGTTTAGGGTTTACCGCTGGGGTTGATTTTGGCGAGGACGCAGCGGGAGTCGCTGGCGTGAGGGTTTAGGGTTTAGGGTTTAGGGTTTAGGGTTTAGGGTTTACCGCTGGGGTTGATTTTGGCGAGGACGCAGCGGGAGTCTCCGACGAAAGCCACAATTAATTTGCACCAAAGTTGCTGTTGTGCCGGAGAGCGAAGTGTCCAAACCCTTATCTGCTGCAGCGTATTCCAGCAGCGCCTTGTGCGTCTGCAGCAAACCCTAAACCCTAAACCCTAAACCCTAAACCCTCGGCCCCAGTCCTAAACCCCAAACCCTCGGGCGCCCCGCGCCGCCCAGCAATGCCGCGCGCCGCCAACGCAAGCAGCCGCGCTGCACCTCGCGGCGCCCGCAGCACGCCCAGCTAGGGTTTAGGGTTTAGGGTTTAGGGTTTAGGGTTTAGGGTTTGTCTGTCTGAGGGTTTGCAAGGGTTTGTGTGGGGTTAACGGCGGAGGCGGCGCCGGGAGGCCTTCCGGCGCGGCGCCCGCCGCCGCCCCCGCCCCACGGTCTGCGGGCTAGGGTTTAGGGTTTAGGGTTTAGGGTTTAGGGTTTAGGGTTTAGGGTTTAGGGTTTGACCGCGTGGAAAGCCCCCCGAAGTGCAGCACAAACGTCGCTCCGCAGCAAAGGGTGCGACAGCAGCAGCAGCAGCAGCACGCGGTGGACGAAGTCGGAGGCTTGGTGGCCGCAGGGGCCGTGGCCGTCGAAAACCCCGTAAACCCCGAAGCTCGAACACCTGCAAACCCTAAACCCTAAACCCTAAACCCTAAACCCCAAACCCTAAACCCTAAACCCTCAACCCTGCTTTCGCGCCCGCGAGCTAGAGGCGCTCACCCACCCCACAACCGCCAGCTAGCGCACGAACTCGCTGCGCAAGAAACCCCAGTCACCCCAAACCCTAAACCCCAAACCCTAAACCCTAAACCCTAAACCCTAAACCCTAAACCCTACCGAATGAAGGAAAAGTCATCTTGGTTTGGACTCTCCGGCTTCAAACCCTTTTTGCAAGAACAGCCGACGCCAATTTGAGCCTGAAATTCGTCGAAGTGCTCGCACTCCTCAGTCGCCGACAGCTGCAGCCAAACCCTAAACCCTAAACCCTAAACCCTAAACCCTAAACCCTAAACCCTAAACCCTAAACCCTAGGCCCTAGGCGCTAAACCCTTAACCCGAAATCCCGGGACGCGCTTAAACGCAGATTCACAGCCCCCAGAAGTGCGGCAAGAACACGGCATTCGGCTAATCCGGAACTCTAAACCCTAAACCCTAAACCCTAAACCCTAAACCCTAAAGCCCACAACAAGCACAGGCGCACACTAGAGGTCCCCAGCAGTGCAGCGAGAACGAGGGTTTAGGGTTTAGGGTTTAGGGTTTACCACGCAGTCCATTCGTTTGTTGTCGAAGCCGCGCTGGCGCTCTCGAGAAGGAAACCCTGGCAAGCAGCACCTCAACCCCAAACCCTAAACCCTAAACCCTAAACCCTAAACCCTAAACCCTCGCTGGCTTATTCCCCCGCAAGCAGAATGGCGTTTCCGCCACGGCCTCCTGGAGCGTTTGCGCCCTTCCCCAAACCCTACCCCAAACCCCAAACCCCAAACCCCAAACCCCAAACCCTAAACCCTAAACCCTAAACCCTAAACCCTAAACCCTAACCTAGGACCGCGCATCTGTCTTTGTCTTCGGAGTCTGCAGTGAAGTGCTGCAGCAAAAACTGCGCAGTGATTTCCTCGAGATGTTTTGCTGCTTCTTCTGGGGGAAAAGGGAGTGGGGAGAACAGCAGCGGGAGTTCGGGGCAAAACCCTTTGCTGCTGCTGCTGCTGCTGCTGCTGCTGCGGGGGCTGTGGGGAGCTTCTGCTGCTGCTGGAGTTGCTGCTGCTGCTGTTGCTGCTGTTGACGACAGCGGCCGCCGCAGCGGCAGGCTGTCGAGGGCGCCCTCGCGGGGGGAGAGGGGCTCGCCTGCTGCTGCTGCTGCTGCTGCAGGCGCTGCTGCTGCTGCTGCTGCTGCTGCTGCTGCTCTCCTGCTGCTGTTGCTGCTGCAGTCTTCTTGACTCGACAAAGACGGAGACTTTATTTTTGTGCTTTCCACTCGGAGAGAAGTAGCGGAGGGTTTGAGGCTGCGGGGTGTATGTACACCGCGGAGGCCGTTGGGCCTGCTGCGGCTGCTGTCGGTGCCCTCTGCTGCTGCTGCTGCTGCTGCTGCTGCTGCTGCTGCTGCTGCTGCGCCGTCCGAAGCAGCTTCTCCTTCGAAAGAATCCTGCACTGAAGTCACAGACACAGAAAGTCTTCGCCGCTGCTGCTCCCGGAGGCTCTTTTGCTTCGGGATGAGGCTGCTTCCTGCTGCTGCTGCTGCTGCTGCTGCTGCTGCTGCTGCGCCGTCTGCAGCAGCAGCGCCCCGCGCTGCCTCGCTGCCCTCCGGCGGCTGCAGCCGCTGCTGCGGGTCCCCCTGCTGCTGCTCCTGCCGATCCCTCTGCTGCTGCTGCTGCTGCTGCTGCTGCTGCTGCTGCTGATCGCTGGTGCGACTCAGCTGCCTCTTTTTGCTCCCACAAGCTCCCATCTTAAGCCAAACTAGTGCTGCTGCTGCTGCTGCTGCTGCCCCTGCTGCTGCTGCTGCTGCTGCTGCCCCTGTTGGCAGCAGGTCCAGTGGCTGCGGCCGCGCAGCAGCAGGCGAGACCCAGCAGCAGCGACGGCAGCGGTGCTGCTGCTGTCGGTGTTCCTGCTGCTGCTGTTGCTGTTGCTGCTGCTGCTGTTGCTGCTGCAGCTGCTGCTGCTGCTGTTGCTGCTGCGGCAGGCGCCGCCGCTACATCAGCCAGCTCCCGTGCTGCAGCAGCAGCAGCCCCCGGATAAGGGCTGGGTGTAGCATGCTGGCCTTGCTGCAGCAGCTGCTGCAGCAGCAACGACTCTGCTGCAGCAGCAGCTGCTGCTGGTGCGGCTGCAAAGAAGTGACTCGGCCGTATGAGTCTGTGCCGGGTCCTCCTCTCGGCTGCTGCTGCTGCTGCTGCTGCTGCTGCTGCTGCAGTTGCTGCTGCTGTTCGTCCCTCTGTGGCTATCAAGCAATGAAAACAGCTTAAAGCTGCTGCTGCTGCTGCTGCCGTCACTACACCTGTTACTTGAATTCGCGTTCCGGCAGCCGCCGCTGCTGCTGCTGCTGCTTCTGCTGCTGCTGCTGCTGCTGCTGCTGCTGCTGCTGTCCGCGAGGACCCACGGCCTTCATCTGCTGCTGGCGCACACAAGAACAAACAGCCCTAAGACGGAGATTAAAAATAAATAAATGAAATAAATAAATAAAAGAATAAAATAAATAAATTACAAAGAGTTGCAGCTGAGCAATCCTCCCTTTTGTGCAGCGGCTTGAAGAGCCACTGCTGCTGCTGTGTTGCTGCTGCTGCTGCTGCTGCTGCTGCTGCTGCTGCTGCTGCTGCTGCTCTCCTCCAAGGTGCCGTCACTGCTGCTGTTGCTGGTGCCACCGCTGCTGCTTGTGTTGCTGCTGCAGCAATAAATCTGAGGTGCAGATAAGCGCTGCAGCAGGGGCAGCTGCTGCAGTTTTGCTGCTGCTGCTGCTGCAGCAGCAGCAGCAGCAGCAGGAGCAGCGGCTGCGGCGGGAGACGGGGTGTACGTACAGCTGCTGCTGCGCCGCCAAATAATTAAATGAACTCCCCGGGAGTTCATTTAATTATTTGGAATTAAATTTGAATTATTTTATTTTAATTTTTAATTTTAAATTCAAATTTAATTCAAATTATTCCAAAAAATAAAAAAAAGAAAAAACGGTACCGGCAGGGTTCGAACCTGCGACCTTGTGGTTAACAGCCACACGCTCTAACCTGCTGAGCTACGGAACCCTAACAGGAAATAAAAATAAAAATAAATAAATAAATAAATAAATAATAATATAAATAAATAAATAAATAAATAAATA